TCTTGCGTGCTGCTGGCAACGCCTGTGCCGATGCCCTGGCGGGCGTTGCGGCCCAAGAGGCCCTCTCTCGGGGCCTCATCGGCGTCGCCCCGCACGCGGATGTCTGGGACACCATTGCTGCGCAGGTTAGGACTCGTGCAAGGAGGGCCCTGATTGACACGCTCGAAGTTGACGCCTGGGAGGCTAAGAGGCCTCCGAAGATTCGGACCGCTCCTCAGCCAAAGCTCACCCGAGCCTTGGCGGCCAGCCAGCATGCCTGGACCCCCGTCCAAGGTGGTTGCTGGCTGTGCTCTGCTTGCCGTCTTCTGGTTCCTGGGTCCAGGGTCGAGGAAGCGGCCGAGTCTTCGTGCACCCCCGCCCCTGCGCCTAGGGTTGGCGGGGGGGTGGGCGTCCCGAGCAGTATTGTGAAGAGTAATTCGTACTCGATCCATGGGAACCAAGAGGTCCACCAGTCTCATGAGCTGTACCTGTGGCAAGAGCACATGCTTTATTTTTGCAATGTGTGCGGCTCGACGGCTACCCTCAAGCTGGCTGGGCTGGCCGAGCCGTGTCACAGCCCCACCAAGAGGGGGCGTCATAATCTCACACGAATCAAGCAGGGTAAGGTCCCGAGCTACGCGGGCTTGCCAAAGGGGGCCAAGGATGCCTCCCTGATTCTGCAGTCAGGAGTAGGAGCGGCTCCTGTCGAGGGCTCCAACGAGGGACCTCCTGAGAGCTCTGTCGAGGGCTCCAACGAGGGACCTCCTGAGAGCTCGTAGGGTGGTTGGAGGGACACTGCGTCCCCTTTGTATCTCATATCTCATATCCTCCTCCTCCTCCTCCTCCTCCTCCTCCTCCTCCTCCTCCTCCCCCCGAAGGCCCCCCGAGACGGCCCCGAGGGGAGAGCGAAAGAGGAGCCACGCTCAGTCGGCCGAGGGGGGCTTCTGAGGGCGCCCAGGGCGGCCCGGGCCCGAGGCCCAGGCCGGGAGAGCGGGGCGGCCCTCGGCGCGCGAAGGGCAGGCCTTCCTCCTCCTCCTCCTCCTGCTCTCTCCCCTTCCTCTTCCTCCTCTTCCTCTCCTGCTCCTCCTCCTCCTCCTCCTCCTCCTCCTCCTCCTCCTCTTCCTCCTTCTCCTCCTCCTTTTCCGCCTCCTCCTCCTCCTCCTCCTCCTCCTCCTCCTCCTCCTCCTCCCACCCGCTCGCTCCGATCCTCGGCGACTGCAGTGGGCGTGGTGGCCGCTGGGGCGAGGTCTGCGATGGGCGCCTCTGGGGCTCCCAGTCGGGAGCTCTTGGGCAGCGTGTCGCTCCGCGGGCTCCGGCCCACCACGCTCGGGCGCGACGCGCTGCCCACCTAGCGTTGTGGAAGTCGATCATAATGGAGAGGAATCGTGCTTCCTAATGGTTCCCAGATGCCTAGAAGAGGTTCCAACTATGTGTTAGATAGGGTTTAAAAAAACAGGCTTGAAACATGTTTAGAACATGTTCGAAACACACTTGAAACACATCTTTTTCATTCCATGGTAGGACTGTTAGGGTGTCTCGGGCCGGACGAAAGGGGGGGATTGGGAAAGGGGGGGTTACGAAATCTGCCGCATGCAGCTGGTTTCGGCCCCACCGATGGGCCCATTCCTCGATACATGGGCGCCTCCGGCGCCGGGAGGCGCCGGGAAAATCAGCTACGTGAGCTGATTCTCAGACCCCCCCTTTGCTATCCCCCTCCTTTCGCCCGACCAGATTGGGGTGTTTCAGCGATGTCCTCGATATGTCAAACGAAAACAGGCCTGAAACATTCTTAGAACATGTTCGACACACGTGGAACACATCGTTTGAATTCGATGGTCCCCTTCCTCCGCCCCCTTTCCGCCGGACAGCACTGCCTGCCCGGAACCAGCGTGGCGGCATATAGGGGCCTGACAAGCGCTTTGAGTCTGCTCGCAAGGCCCGGCAAGGCGCCTTGGGAGGCCCAGAAGGGCCAGCAGACCTTTTCCAAGGGCGTCCTGGGGGCCGCCGAGACGGACTAGGACCAGGACCTGGTCAGCACAGACAGGGCGGCAGCGATGGTAGGACTGCCAGGGTGTCCAGCTGCCACGGCATCCGCAAGCCTGGCGGAAACCCTGGGCGTCCCCGTGCCGAGCCTGTCCGGGCCTCTCTCCGGCCGCCCCGCCCGCGGAGCGGCGCGGCGCGCTGCTGTCCCCCGGGGTGCGGCACTCGGGAGGGAAGCAAAAGCACGCCCAGACACAAGTCATCGACGAGAGCCCCCAGAAGATCTGGGAGAGTATGGGAAGTGTGGGGGGGAAGACCCACGCCCAGAAAATAGGAGAAGATACGGGGATCCTGTTATCTATATATATATATATATATCTCCTGTTATATATATATGTGTTTATTTGTGTGTGTAGTTATTGTTGTGTCCCAGAGCCCCTTCAGGCACAGCGTGTCGCCGGGGCCGCCGCCGTGACGCGCTGAGCAAGAGTTCCCGACCGTAGGCGGTCACCACGTTGTGCCAAAGGTTTGATGGGCCCTCCTCGGGGCGCGGCGGGGATCTCGGCCGAGGACCTCGCCCGCCCTCCAGGGTGTGGGTTGCAAGCCATATCCGTTGCAGCCCACACCCTTCGGAGTGGCCGAGATCCGACGTCGATTCCCACCCGCGCATGCTGCCGTTGCGGAAGACATCCAGACGGACGATCTTTTGCCGTCTTCGGCATCTGGGGGCCCTCGCCGGGCCCCGGGGCCGCCACGAAACGGCTCGGGATGGAAATCCGGTCTCGGGGAGGGGGGGCAGACATCTTGTGACGCACCAGCAACACACGCCCATACCCATAGAGGGGTGGGAGAGGGCTATGGGTGCGTGTTGTCGGATGGGGGTCTCCGCTCGAACGGGAGCGTTCCCCAGGGTCCGACAACCCGCACCCATACCCACAGCCAGTCCTCCTCCCAACGACCCCCCTATGGGTATGGGTGTGTGTTGCTCGTTCGTCATCTTGGGGTCCACGCTATGAAGAAATCACGACGTCCGAGACCTGGGGACGTTGCTCCTGGCCGGCCCGATCCGGTTCTGTTCCGATCTTCTGGCGCTCCGATGCGACCCGATGCCTGCACGGCGTCGTTGTGCATCCCAGCGCGGCCGATCCGCCGCTCGCCGATGCGGGCCCGATCCGCGAGCCTTCCGGCCCGATCCGGCTTCCGAGTCGGCGCGGACCGATCTTCGTGGCGCGCCTGGGGGGGACCTGGGAGGGGGCAGGCCTTCTCATCAGTCGGCGGGGCTGCTCGCCAGCCCTCGGGCCTTCGGAGGCGCCGATTGCCCCCCGGGGCTCGCCGCCGAACCTTGCCCTCGCGCGCGCGCGCGAAAGGCTGCTGCTCACGGACCGTCCGTGTCGCCTTGCCCTGCGCAGAGGCGCCCGTGCGCACCGATGGCCGACGAGGTGCCCTGTGGCGCCTGTTTCCCGCGGGGGGCGCCGTGGGCAGGGGTGCGGGCGGGCGCGGGGGACTCCCGGTCGCCTGACTTCCGGACGGGTTGGGGCCGCTGCTTCCCCTGGCAGGGGCCGGACGCACAGTAC